CGTCACCGTGTTTGATGATTATTTCAGTTCTTGATACTGGTGATGAGTTGTCCTTTGAAGTTTGTGAGATTCTATATGAGACTGACAGGCTCTTGATCTGCTTCCGTCAGTCGCTGTTTCCGAGCTCAAACCACAGGTTCAGGGTTATGGCTTGTGATACAAACTCCCATACCAAACTCCTGCCCTTATTACTTGCTTCTGTTACCTAAGCTTAGTAAGTAGTTTTCAATATTGTCCAATGTTTGATGTGATGTGCATTGTTTTTTGTTTTGTGGTTGTTCCGATGTGTGAAATTTAAGGAAAGAGCCATTTAATAAATGCCAAGCAGGGCAATGCAAGTACAGCCAAATATTAGAGTTGATGTGCAGTCTTAGGTCTTTTTAATCTGGGGTATTATAGGCAGTACTTTAAATCCAAGTCTTCCTGGCCTATTTTCCTCCACCTTTTTGTAACTACTCGGGGGCTTTTGTTTGGCAGTACTAAAAATCAAAGGAGCTGGTTCTTCTTTTTTCCCAGTTCTTTCATATTAATGAAAGCACCTACAACTAGCCTGTCACTCCTATCCTACACAGCAAGTATCAGTGCGTGCCACATTTCCCTGCAGTGCTGGGGTGAAATCTTGCCACATGCTAGGCAAGTGCTTTGAGCTACATCCTAGCCCTTAATACTAGCACACTTTAGCATCTTTATTTTACATGTTTAGATCAGTACGAAAACCAATATTCTCTTTTATATCTTGTTGAGCTTATAAATGCCAGCAATTTAGAATTACACCCCTTAAATCGAGGTAAAAATATTAATGCAAAGGTCACTTAAAAGAGGTAGATACCTTCATTTTCAGTTAATTGGATAGACTTAGATGTGTCTCGGGAAATACTAGCAAACATCACATTTGACAAAGATTGAAGTTGACTGTCTTTTGGAATAAGGGTTTGCTGCACATTTCCTGCTTTTTTGGCCTGGATAACAATGTCCCTGTCTTCACAACGCAGAGAAGCTTTGAGTTCAAGGGATGGTTGTGAAAAGCAACCACTTAGGGGCCCTTGGGAATTTGGGCTCACTAGGAAACTACTAATGGAAAAACAATTAGCTGGATATTTGAAGATGGTAAACAAAGAATTGGATGTTTTTCTGAAATACAAAGTTTGTCAGAACAGGCTGATGGGGGTGGGTTTTCCCCCTTCCTGGCAGTTGAAGTTTCAGCTCCTGTTTCAAGTTACTGTTGCTTATTTTTCCAGTTTCTATTTCCACCTGTAAAGTCAGTGGCATGGCACCACACATTTCATTTTGCCCTTATTGAACAGAAAGTTGAGTTGAACTGAATCTTGTTGTAGTAACATTGTATAAATAGTGGCTCCTTTTTTTAAAAAAAAAAAACGTTGTAATGCCTCCTGATGGATATAATTTTGTGGTTGTATTTAAGATTGAAAATTGAATAAATCACACCAGCTTCCTGAAAAATGTTCATAATGCATCTTTTGGAAAAAAAACACATGCCTACTTTGCATATTTGCATTAACATGGTAAAGATTGTATGAAATACCTGTTTTTCAAAAAAAAAATAAAGGTTCAGTCTTAAAAGATAAAGCATTTAAGATCTGAATTTATTGAATTAGATTCCAGAAAACCTGTTTTGGAACATGGGTAGCTCTCTTTCCCTCCATTACCTCCCCAAATTAAAAAATTTCTATAAAATTTTTACTCGTTCCATTTTTGAACATTGAAAAATTTCAGTAGGATAGTTCTTTGTATTAAAAAAATCAGTTTATTAAGCTTAATTTTGGCAATATTTAAGAAACAACTGGCAGACTCCCTGGGGCACAAACTCTCTAAAGGGAAATACAAATGCCCAGCTTTAATACCTTGCAGGTTTCATTTGCTGTGCCTAGGCTGTCAGGAAGATTTGTTTTAATGGTTTCATCATCTGACACATTTCAAAAGATCACTTCTTAGGTAGGTGTGTTGGCATAAATGTGACAAGGCCAGCCTGGTCGACATACTGAATTCCAGGCCAACAGGGGCTACAGGGAAGACCCTGTTCCCAAACTCCAATAAACAGATCAAAAAACATTCAGAAGCAAGTTCCTTTAAGGGTGGATGCTTTTACTCATTGGGCTACTTGGAAAGTTTAATAGAAGGTCTTAGGGTAGCTGAATTTGGATCAGAATCTAGGAACAGCCTATGAGTAACAAGAGTCCTCTAGAGAACCAACCTGCCGTCTTTTCATCTAAGTCTTACAGGCAGGAGTGAATGTCTTCTTTAAGTTGTGCATGGGGATCCTGGGTAAATTCAGAAGCTTCTGAAGCAGCAGTTTCTCAGAGTATAAATGTCGAACTTTAAAGCCTATTAAGCACTCTGGACTCTTCTTTGGAAATGGATGTTCCTGGGCTTCCAGCAAGCTGGATGTGTCACTGTTCAGCCTGTGTAGCAGCACAGACTACTTGGGTCCTTTTGTTCCCTTAATCTTTTGAAGAGGGGGAGGAGGGCTCTCTAGCTTTAAAAAGCTCCTCAAATAAGGTCTCTGCATATTACAATCTATCTCCCCCACTGAACACTATTCCAAGTGGCACTTTACCCAGGCACCCCTTTCCCTTGCACAGCTTTGTTGTGTTTCTACCTGACCCAAGTACTTTCCACAAGGTGTGTGACAAATCATATACCTCTCGTGAAATTCACCATGTTGCTGGAAAGACCAGGCTTTAGAGGTGGGATGTGTTTAAAACTTCCCTTGGGGGCCTGGAGAGATGGCTCAGCAGAGGTCCTGGGTTTGATTCCCAGCACCCACACAGTGGCTAACTATCCGTAAGTCCAGTTCCACGGGATCTGACATCCTATTCTGACCTCCAAGGGCATTACACCACCATGCGCCTACCTACATGCATAAAATGACTAAAAAGAACCTGGTAGATACTGAAGGAATGAATGTTTTCAAAATATATTGAGATCTGAAACATCCGAGGAGGCCAATCTTTAGCATGGTTTCTCCTTGAATAACAAAAAGCAGTTAGGGCTAGAAAGATGGCTCAACGGTTAAGAACACTGAATATTCTTGCAGAAGACCCAGGTTTGAATCCCAGCACCCACATGGCAGCTAACAACTGTCCATAAAGCCAGTTCTAGGAGATTTAATGCCCTTTTCTGACCTCTTCTGGCATTGCATGACATGGGTGCACTTACCTACATGCAGGCAATACATACACATAAAATAAAAATAATAAAATACTAAAAATCAAAGCAATTAACACATTTGAAATCCTGGAGATGGTGTGGTAATCTGAATACTTGATCCAATTCCAAACTTGCTTATGAGAAGACCACCACACCGTCTAACCTCAGCTCTAACCAGAAGACTGTGGCCAGCATCAACTTTTTTCTCCTTTTTTGGAGAGGGGGTTTGTAATTTTAGGAAATAACTGAGCTGGGCATGGTGGTACACTCAGGAGGTAAGGTGGATCTGTGAGATTGAGGCCAGCCTGGTCGACATAGCGAGTTCCAGGCCAGCTGGGGCTACAGAGAGACCAAATAAAAAAAAAAAACCCAAATCCCCTGAATAGGCTGGTAAGATGGCTCACAAGGTAAAGGTGCTTTCCTCCGTTCTGACAACCTGTGTTCCATCTTTGGGATCCACTTGGTGGAAGGAGAGAACAGATTCCCAATAGTAGTCCTCTGGCTTTCACATGGATGATCCCCCTCCCCTTCCCAAACACACAGGCAAAGTAAAGGTAATTTTCAAAGACAAGTAGCCAAAGGAGATTGGAGAGAGAACTCGGTCAAGTGCTTGCTTTGTACTCTTGACCTGAGTTCAAGCCCCAGAACCCACGTTAAAAAAAACCCAGGAGGGCTGGAGAGATGGCTCAGCGGTTAAGCGCACTGGCTGCTTTTGCTGAGAACTCGGGTTTGATTCCTAGGTGGCTAACAACCATCCATAAGTCCAGTTCCAGGGGAATCCAACGCCCTCTTCTGACCTCCGCGGGCACCGCACGACCCAGGTGCACATGCAGGCAATACATTCATACACTTACAAATAATATTTTTTTTAAAAACCCAGGAGTGGTGGTGTGCATTTGTAATCCTGGAGCAGGGGAGGTGTAGGCGGTGTAGAAGGATCCCTGCCACTCACTGGCCAGCCAGCCTAGCTTAGTTGGTGAGCTCCGGGTTGAGGTCCCAAAGAAAGGATCTTGTGCTGTGATCTACACACACACACACACACACACACACACACGTTAACTGAAGTGCTCCACATCTTACTGAAGTGCCTCACTGTATCGATGCAGTGTAATTTAGTGTCCCTCTACCTACTTACAATCTAACTGAATTGCCTATCTACCTACCGACCACCTAACTGAAGTGTTGCCCATCCATCCATCCATCCATCCATCCATCCATCCATCCATCCATCCAAAAAAAACCCACCCATCCATCTATCCAATCGAAGTGCTCCACAAAAGATTTCCTCAAAGACTCCTGGCAAATGAACACTCTTTAACTGGGCCCCGCCTTTTCTCCATTCTCAAGCTAAGGTCGGTTCCAGGGTAGGAGAGTGCAGCAGCACAAAACGCACAAACAGCTCCCTCCCCGTCCTCGGCGTCAAGAGGTGGAGGCTAGCCTTCCAGTCGCTACGTTAGCGGAAGGATTAGCCAAAGGCCTGTGCATACAGCGTCCCTCGCCCTGCTCGCCTCCACCTGGCACTGCGCAGCCCATCCTTCCACTTCTCGGCTTCGCAGACAGGTGGCTCCGCAGCTCTGAGATCCTACCAAAGAGCCCAGGCAGCACCAGAAGCCAGCCAGCACTCCAGCGGTGGTTGAACGGCTTCCGGGCCCCGAGAGGGCCACGCCCCTCAGACGCTGATTGGCCAGAGCCTCTAGGGCCAGTTTGGGACGCGCTCCCCTTTGACCTGGATTTCAAGCCATGCGCTGGGCTCTGATTGGCCTGACTTTCTCGGAGCCGGAGCTCGATCTAGCCAATGAGAAGCTGGCTTCGCGAGGGCTGTCGGGAAGCGCAGCTGGCATATATAAGCGGCCTGCGGGGCGTTCCCTCGCGCTACGGTTACCTTGCTGGTGTGTGGGGAGGGAGGCTGTTCGCTCGTTGAGACCGCGCGTCGGGGACGATGGCGGAGGGGGATAACCACAGCAGCAGTCTGCTGGTGAGTGGCGACGGTCGGCCTGTCCCCAGAGCTCCCGGCGGGGCCTTCGGGCTCCGCTGCGCTCCCGGGTGCTGTCGGGCCCGGTCTCCTGCCGGTGCTGGCCGGCGATGTCGCTCGCTTGCTGGCCGTCTCGGTGGTCACCACTGCAGATCCCCAACGTTCCCCGGGGATGGTGCTCCGCGCCGCGACGACGGCGCATGACGAGTCAGCACGGGCGGGCCTGAGAAGGGGACGGTGGCAGGAAGGAACTTGGGGTGCAGGTCGGGGCGTACGGCCGCCAGGGGCCTTGTCAGGCGGACCGGACCGAGTTCCGCCCTCTCTGATCTTAATCTAATGTCCCTTCGCTTGTTTTTCTGTTTTTTTTCTTCACCAAAACTTGGGGAAGGGTGGAGGTCAAAGGGCTGCTGCCGAGAATTCCTTAGAGCTGGCACAGAATTATTCGGAGCTGGCTGCGAGTCCACCTCAGGAAGCCTGGAAGTGGGATGCAGCCGGAAGGGCAGTGACAGGTCCAGGCACTTGTCTAGGATCTGGGGAGGGGTGTCCTGGGCCGACTGGAAGCAACTTTAGAAGGGTTAGCACGGATCCAAAGTATCCGCGTGAGATGGTGGTATTGTGAGATGGTATTACTGTTATAGGTATTATTGCTTCATGACATTTTTTTTTTTTTAAGTTAGACCTGGGGACTGGAGAGATGGCTCAGCGGTTAAGAACACTGGCTGCTCTTGCAGAGTACCAACGTTCGATTTCCAGTACCCACATAATGACTAACAACTGTCCATAACTCCAGTTCCAGGGAATTCGATTTTCTCTTCTGACCTTCTTAGACATTGCACAACAGGGGTGCACTTACATACATGCAGGCAATACACTCACACACATAAAATAAAAATAATAAAATATTAAAATAAATAAAAATGAGACCAGGTTGGCCTTGACCTCATTATACAAGGCTTACCTTGAACTTGTCATTCTCCTGCTTTAACCTGTCACACCTGTATGGTGTGGACCACCATACTCAGCTACGTTTTACAAATTTAACTGCATCATCCTGGCAAGAACAGAAGGGATCTTCCCAGGGCATCCGAAATGAAAAGAGAAATCAAACATTTTAACTTTGACTTATGCACTTCCAAGAGCCTAAAGGCTAACAAGACAGTTTCTTAAAGTGTCCTCTAAAAAAATCCTGTTTTGAAGATTTTAATTATGTGTATGTATGTATGTGAACGCGATTGCAGGTGCCCACCGAAGCCAGAGTATCAGATCCCCATGGAGCCAGGGTCACAGGTGATTGGCTGTGAGCCACATGATTAAGTGCTGAGAACTGAACTTGGGTACTCTGCAAGAGCTGTATGCACTCTTAACTGCTGAGTCATTATCTCTCCAGCCCCCTATAGTCCTTTATTGTTAACCACCAGCAAACAATCCAATCAGATTAGTTGAAGCACAAGGAAATTTCCCAGGTTGGGTTGAAATGACAGGTGAAGGCATTGAAGTTCTGATCACCAACTAAACTGTTTCCACCAAAGCAGTATAGTTTTCAGGAGAGAAAGGCTGTTGGTCTTGGATTTCCGGGATTTAAATCTGTTAACCTCTGTATTTTAGTTTCCTCATAGTAAAAACACCTTTTCCAGTTTTAGGAGTATTAGGAAGCATAGCATATAAAATGCTTAGATTTTTTTTTTTCAATTTTTGTTATTTTTATTTTGTGTGTATGCTTGTATTGCCTGCATGTAGTTAAGTGCACCCGTGTTGTGCAATGCCCCTGGAGGACAGAAGAGGCTGTCGGATCCCCTGGGACTGGAGTTATGGACAGTTGTTAGCTGCCATGTGGGTGCTGGGATTCGAACCCAGGTCTTCTGCAAGAGCAGCCAGTGTTCTTAACCACTGAGCCATCTCTTCAGCCCCACTTAAAATTTCTAATATGTGATAATCTCTTAATATTAATCATGGGATATAAAGTCAGAAACACTTGTGGTTACCTTAGTGATTATTATGGTACAGATTTCCTCTTTATTAAAATTAGACTCCTATTTGCTTATTTCCCTGTGAAAATTTATAATAACACCTGAGTGCCTTTGGAGGGCAGTTTTCCTGGGGGATTGAATCCAGGGCCTTAAACTGAGCAAGTGCTGCATACCGCAGAGGTACATCTTCAACACTGGGCTTGCTCTAATTATTCTTTAACCAAAATCCCTGAAAAGTTCAGGTTGCATTAGTTCATCCTTAAGGTGTGCTTTTGACTGACTGTCAAATTTGCAGAGAAATTTGAAGTCTAACTGAAAGTCCCCCACCAGTGATAAACATAGTAGAGTTCAAGTGCCTCACATAATTCAGTGGAAGTAGTTTTAATTCTGCACTGAGTGCCAACATCTGAGTAATTGCATTACACAAAGAGCTATTTTAGAGATTGAGTGTACTGTTCAAGGAGAGGCCTTCCTGATGGATTTAGAAGGGCTTGAATCAATGAAATGACCAAACAACAGATCAATTCCAACCACCTGAAATGAGCAAACTTAGAGTCTAGTAATATTCTGGGCACTGCCCCATGACTTTGTGCAAGAATTTGAATAGTTAGCCATGTTACATTCACTTTCATTAATTTTGAAATAAATAGCCCCATATTGTGAAACTACGGGAGGATTGTTACATCATGGATGCAGAGTGGCCCAGGACTTGGGCCTGGAAAGTGACCATTAAAAAATAGCCCCCACCAGTCCATGGATTTCCATGTTTGATGGCACAATTGCAATTTTTCCACAACCCAGCTTAAGACAGCAATTTGGTTAAAAGGCATTTTATATATTCGATGCTTTGGAAGGATTTTACTCTCTGAGCCATCCAAGTGTTGAGAGTGGCAAAGTAATGCTTTAACTGTTGGACACCCCTAGGCAGTGGAGACCGCAGGTCTGGAAGAGCAGCTGCAAGGCTGGGGAGAAGTGATGCTGATGGTGGATAAAGTCCTACGGTGGGAAAGAGCCTGGTTTCCACCCGCCATCATGGGTGTGGTTTCCCTGCTGTTCCTGTAAGTGAGCGATTCTATTGCTAAGGACTGTGCTTGCCTTTAATAAGGACTCAGATGGTCCACAGCCTGTGCTTCAGGAAACTTACAATACATAATCCAGAAAGAATGCTTCTCTTACAAGCAGCTCACCTACTTTCTAGAATTTGTAGTTCTGACATAAACTTGTAACCTAATGCAGTTGCATAAATCTGGGACTCTCAAACTTTTGGGTCTCAGCATCTGAACTCTTCAAAAAGTGTTGAGGACCCCAGAGTTTTTGACTGTTGCTGTTTCCATTAACTACTGCAGCTGCAGCATCATCCTGGCAGTATGCCTCTGGAAACCTGTTGTGAGAAATTTAGAAAGGAAACTTCACAGACCGTCTCGGAGAAGCTGTGGCCAAGGGAGTAAATGTCTTGGGCTGTGGATTAATAACCATTGTGATTTTTTCTAAGCTTGGTTAATTTTCTTTTTTTTTAACAGGATTATCTATTATCTTGATCCATCTGTGCTGTCTGGTGTTTCCTGTTTTGTGATGTTTTTATGCCTGGCTGACTACCTTGTCCCCATTCTAGCACCTCGGGTTTTTGGCTCCAATAAATGGTAGGTGGCATAATAACTGACCTGCAGACGAATATTCCTAAGAAGGTAACTGAACTTGGTGACTGTGGTTAGTGTGCTGTGATTAAATGAAGACACCTGCTTAAGGGTTAGATTTATTGCTTTTTTAAAAATATTTTACTTATGCTGGGCGCGGTGGTGCATGCCTTTAATCTCAACACTGAGGAGGCAGAGGCAGGTGGATCTCTGTGAGTTCAAGCCCGGCTTGTTGTACATAGTGAGTTCTGGGACACTTGTGGTTACGGGGAGCCCTTTTCTAAAAAAGCCAAAAAAAAAAAAAAAAATTATTTTTATTTTATGTGTATGTGTGTATTGCCTGCATGTAGGTAAGTGCACCCATGTCATGCAGTGCCCACGGAAGACAGAAGAGGCTGTCAGATCCCCTGGAACTGGAGTTACAGACAGCTGTTAGAGGCCATGTGGGTGCTAGGATTTGAACCCAGGTTTTCTGCAAGAACAGTCAATGTTCTTAACCACTGAGCCATCTCTCCAGCCCCGATTTACTGCTTTTTAAAAATTAAAAAAAGCAAATTTTTAAAAAAGTTTTATGTATTTGACTGTTATGCCTGCGTGTGTCTACATGTGTGGGTGGTGTGTGTGTGTGTGTGTGTGTGTGTGTGTGTGTGTGTGGTGCAGTGCCCGAGGAGGACAGAAGAGGGCATCAGATTCCAATTATTAGCCTTCATGTGGGTGCTGGAACTCAAACCTGGGTCTTCTGCAAGAACAGCTAGTGGTGTTAACCACTGAACCATCTCTCCAACCCCCAGATTCATTGCTTTTATGTGAAGAATTTCTTAGCTCATTTCAAATGAAATGAATTTTCAATATTTTTATCTCCATAGTTCTCTTTGGTCAAAATTTTAGTTTTTTTTCCTTCACTGTCATCAAAGTGAAGGTTTTGTTTTGTTTTGAGATAGGGTCTCCTTGTAGCCCCTTCTGGTCTGGAATTTGCTATTTAAACCAGGCTGGCTTCCATCTCACAGATCAGCTGGCCTCTGCATTCTGAGTTCTGGGATTAAAGGTGTGTGCTACAGTGCCTAGCAAAATGAGTGTTTTTTTGTTGTTTTCTTTTTTCCTAAAGACAATGTTTGAAATAAGGATTTCAGAATTCCACTTTTGTGTGGTTTTTTAAAAATATTTTACTTATTTTACATGTATGAGTGTATTGCCTGCATGTGCGTGCACCCGTGTCACTAAATAGACCGTGAGCTGTTGAGGGTGGTGCACACCTATAGTCCCAGCACTCTGGAGGCCAGATGCTTCTGAGTTTGGGGTCAGAGTAGGCTACATACACAAAGTTCCAGGCCAGTCTTGGCTACACAGAGAGATCTATCATAATCATCCTCACATCCTGTACCCTCCCAAAACACCCCAAGATTGATGCTGTGTTTAAGGCTGAGGAATGGGTTTGTTGGCGCCTTGAGGTAGTGCAGTGGTGCATAGCTAACAAATGCAGAGTGGGTAGACCAAAATGGACTCAAGCTGCCATCCAAGTGGGTTGTTGATTTCATTTTTGCCATTCTTGAATAGAGTATAGTGAAGTGGCTAAGGATTGCATTAACTTTTTGAACTTCCTGTAGAATGTTGAATTTCTCACTTTTGATCCAAATGACAGGCTAGGCACTGAAGGTGTAGCCACACACAGATCCCTGGGCTCTGTCCCAACATGAGGGGAGAGAAACACCACAAGTAATTAACCAAACCAGTTATTGGTGTAGATCCCCCACCTTTGCCCCCCACCTCAACTGACATTTTCAATTGATTAATGTTCTGCCTGTACCTTTAGTGTTTTTGTTTGTTTCCAAATGACAACAGGTTATATGATCTATAAAATGAGGGGCTGGAAAGATACCTCAGTGGTTAGGAGCACTGATTGCTCCGGCAGAGGACCTGGGTTCAATTTCTAGGACCCACGTTGTGGCTAATCATTTGGAACTCCAGTTCTAGGGAATTGACTCCCGCTTCTGACCCCTGCAGGCATTGTAGGATATGGGTGTCCTTACAGGCAGGCAATACACTCATACACATGAAATAAAAATAAATACTTTAAAAATGAGTTTATAATGTGTACCTTTTAGGTTAGTAAGAATAAATTCACAGAGGCTGGAGAGATGGCTCATCAGTTAAGAGTATTGGCTGATCTTAAAGAGGACCTAGGTTTGGTTCTCAGCACCCACATGGTGACTAAAAACTGGATTAGTGTTAGGACTTTTCCTTCAAACTGCTTTTCACTTGCCATAAAGAATTAATACGGCTGTGTTTGGGGGTAAGTTTATGACGATGCAGTGTAACACACTTAACAAAGGGAGTCAGCCACTGACCTTGACATAATTAGCCAAGTGACATTCCTATCTAATAATTCAAACTCCGAGAGGAAAGTTTCTAGAAATAAACAGTCTCTTGGCAATAAATATCCACGAGGCAAATTTTACTTTTCGAATTTATGGGATGATGTTAGGGGAAAGAAGGAACAGTGTTATGTCACCATAGTCCAGCCTTGATCATGAGCAGCATGGAAGGTTTGACTGTTTATAGGAAGAGCAAGGGCTCATCAGAAATACCTACTCACTGGGTGTGGTGGTGCACATCTTTAATCCCAGCTCTTGGGAGGCAGAGGCAGGCAGATCTCTATGAGTTCAAGTCCATCCTGGTCTACATAGCGAATTCCAGGTCAGCCAGGGCTACATAGTGAGACATTGTCAAAAAACAGTCTAGAGGGAAGAGGGCAGCACATTCCTCAGCATAGGTTATTTCATGAGTACTGGATCTGTGCAGCAAAGAGCACAGAAAAAAATTAGAAGCTATTTAGTGTATGTATGTGTATGTATGTTTACACCATGGCACATCTGTAGAAGTCAGAAGACAACTTTTTTTTTTTTAGTCTTTTTGAGACAGGGTCTCCCTGTAGCCTCAGCTGTACTGGAACTCACTATGTAGACCAGGCTGGCCTTGAACTCACAGAGATCTGCCTGCCTCTGCCTCCCAAGTGCTGGGACTTACAGGTGTGCACCACCACGCCCAGCAGAAGACAACTTTCTAGAGTTGGTTTCTCTTTTCCATTCGGGTTCCAGGGATTGGGCAGCTTACCAGACTGGGTAGTGTCTACCTGCTGACCCAGCCTGCTGGCCTGGAGCTGTTTATTGCATCAACGCCTAGTTGAGGTTGTTATGCTTTACATACTAGCAGTTATTCTAGTACAGATGCTCAGATGCAGCTGCTTGGAGCTCTCATGGGCAGAGTGCAGGATTGTGTAGGAGCTGAGAAATCATGTAGGAATAGAAAACCCAAATTTGTACCATGAGTGCAGTCCATAAAAGACTTGATTTCTGTCATTATAATTAATCAAAGGTGGCTTTTAGAGTTAGGAATTGCCGTTAGTCTATGAAAAGTAGCACTCGGTGGCTGGTAGAGATGGCTCAGTGGATAAAGGTGCCTGTTGCCAAGTGTGATGACTGAGTTCGATTCTTAGAACCCACATGATAGAAGGAGAGAACCAAGTCCTGCAAGTTCTTCTCTAAGACTGTATGCCATGGCAGGCATTCGTGTACATGCACATATACACATACAAGATAATACATGGGCATACTTTATATAAACTTATTCCTATGCTATTAAAGGTGTCTTAAAATGCAATTTCTCTTTTTACCTATATAAGATAATGATGAACTGTTTTTAGTTCTTGCCACATGTAGTGGCACCCACCTGTAATCTCAGCACTTGGGTGGTGGAGGCAAGAGGATCAGGAGTTTAAGGCCATTTCCTTTACATAGTGAATTTGATGCCAGCCTTGGCTACATGAGACCCTCTCAGAAAACAAAACAAAAATAAACTGTTAGCTGGGTGTTGTGGCTTATACCTGTAGTCCTAGCACTTGAAGGCGGAGCCTAAGAGGGTCATGAGTTCAAGGACAGACAGTAAACTCCTGTCTTAGGAAAAATAGGTGAGTAAACAAGCAGCTAGCTAGCTGTCTACTATAGAGATTTGCTTATCACAGAAAAAAATGCTTTTTCTAGGACCACTGAACAACAGCAAAGATTTCATGAAATTTGCAGCAATCTAGTAAAAACTCGACGCAGAGCTGTGGGCTGGTGGAAACGCCTCTTTACACTAAAGGAAGAAAAGCCTAAAATGGTATGTTTTTTTTTTTTCTTTGACTTATTGAAGTGTAAAGCAAAATTTTAAGATTGAATTAACAGTGCCTTTTATCATAGTGACAACCTTTTTGGGAGTAAAATTCAATGCTGATTATCCTTTGGTGTAACTAAGTGTATTCCTGAATGTTATATGTGACAGAGCAAGCCATTCAAAGGCAACACTCACATTTTGCATTTAACTCTATTCTAGTAGAGCTAAGTCTGCTCTTTCTCTTATTGAAGTAAAAAACGTGTGTGGAGATGTGTTCTTCCCTCTTAGCCTCACTTAAGGTTGTGGTGTGAAGCTGTTAATTGTAAAAGTAGCATACTTTATACTACAAAGAATTCATTCTTCTATATATAGACTTAGTAATTACAAGAGGAAACATCTCTAGAGTCTATAAAAGAAAACTGGTAATAACAATGAAGTCATTCTTCCAGCCTTGATCTTCCTTTGTGGTATGTGTGGGAGGTCTTTGAGACAGGCTCTCCCTGTAGCCCCAGCTCTCCTGGAACTCAATATGTAGACCAGGCTGGCACTGAACTCACAGAGATCCACCTGCCTCTGCCTCCTGAGTGCTGGGACTAAAGGCGTGTGCCACCATCTCTGGCAGGAACAGAACTTCTTAAAGTACAAATCAAGCTGTGGTGGTGCCCAGGACATGCTGCTCACCTGCTCCCACTGTAGATGGTGAAGCAGGCCCCGAGTCACTCTTGTCAGTCTTCGTCTTAGCTGATACTCTTTTTTCTTGCCAGTACTTCATGACCATGATCATTTCCCTTGCTGCGGTTGCCTGGGTGGGCCAGCAAGTCCACAACCTGCTTCTCACCTACCTGATCGGTAAGTTATTGAGAAATGCCACAGGTGAATCCCAGCAGTGAAGTCTGACTATTATAGCTTAATCAACAAACAGATGAATACCCACAAGGAATTGTGGAAGTGTAGAAAGGTGACTTAAGACTCAGGCTTGTTCTTGGGATAGATATAGCTTAGTTGGTAGACTGCCTTGGATTTAATAACCTTGTACTAAATAAAACCAGGCATGGTGGGCCACACCTGTAATCCCAGCACTCAGGCATAGAGGCAGAAGGACCAGAAGTTCAAGGTCAGCTCAGCTGTATGCTGCAAGTTTGAAGGCAGCCTATTTGTATGATACTGTCTGGAAAGAAAAGAAGACGGCTCCTTTTTTTCAGGGAATTATTATAGCAAAGAATAACAAGTAGAAAGCTGGATGCAAGCAGTGAAAAAGGAGCGATAGACTGTTGAGTGAGCAGTCAGGAGGGCCTGTTAGCTGGGGCTTTGGGGGTAAACCCTGTGGGAGACGCCACCAGAGCCTGCCACCTTTTAAATGTGAAGTTAAGTGCTGCCTCTTCAATTTCCTTTAAGTGACTTTTGTGCTGTTGCTTCCTGGACTAAACCAACATGGAATCATTTCAAAGTACATCGGAATGGCCAAAAGGGAGATCAACAAGCTTCTCAAGCAAAAGGAAAAGAAAAACGAGTAATGCGCCGGCTCTGAGTGGCTGTGGGTGTGCACCCCGTGGGAACAGCACCTGTTCTGCTCTGTGGTACTGAAATGTTACACAAGTAGCTCTTTGCTCCCCCACTCTGCTCTTGTTAATACCCATTCACACTTGCCAAGGCAGGCTTTGTGTGCTGTCTTAGTGTCAGGTGTAGCTGGGTAATGCTCAGCAGTTGCCCTTAAACAAACAGCTCCTTGGGCAAGTATGACTTGTTTTGATTTTTCTCGCCCAGGGCTGACAAAATTTTTACTTTTTACAACTTCCTTTAAAATACCTTAGTGATGAACTTACTCTTTTGTATAGTGAACAGTGACTGGATAATTGTTGGTGTTTGCTTTAGCTAGAGTCAAGGATAGTGGTCTGTGGCTACAGGAAGCTGGTTCTACTGTCTGCTTCCACAGTCTGCTTAAAAAACTGTCTGGCTTCATGAATACTGAGATCAAGTTTACCACTTTTGCTGAAGAGACCACTTAAGATTCATTCCTGTTTTCTGACTGGGAGAATGCCCATGGAATAGGGTGACAGTAATTCCTCACACTAGTGTGTATGTAGGTTCCTCGCTTGTGTAAAATGTAGCAATTTTTAGGAAGCCAATGTCCGTTGTCCACATGAGGAGTCTGACAGTCTTAGGCTAAGCCCTGAGTCCCTCTGCACTACAAGTTAGTATGTCCTTAAAGGCGTTTGAACAACAAACTTCAGAAGATTGTGTTTGGGAATTCCAGCATACTCATCGGATTTTTAGCTGACTTCAAGTGTTTGTGACCTTTACTCCAAGACCAGAGTAGAGGTCTTCCTTCCCCCCTCAGTGGAAAATAAGATAGTCCATTAATTTTTAAGACCCGAAAGAAAGCCTTTAAAAATAGTCCTTGCTGGGCGCAGTGGCGCACGCCTTTAGTCCCAGCATTTGGGAGGCAGAGGCAGGCAGATCTCTGTGAGTTTAAGGCCAGTCTGGTCTACACAGTGAGTTCTAGGACAGCTGGGGCTACAGAGAGACCCTGTCTCAAAAAGACCAAAAAAA